CTTTCATTCGGACCATTTTTCTTTGTTTCCTCAATTTGGCAGCCTCCCTGTGTTTGTTTCTGTGTATTAGGTAGAACTACTTTGAATGCCTGTCTTAGTGCACCTGTTGAGTTGTATGGGGCGGAGCCTTAGGTAATTGACAGGATGGGGCAACCTCCTTCACTGCTTTGTGGCTCAGGGAGAAGGGGTAATAGAGGAGACAGTGCTGCTGCCTGGCTGCTGAAGGCTTGCTCGACACTCGCCCCACTTCGAATCACTTCACCCACTTCCCGTATGCGAGTGGAGCCCCTCTAGATGTTGCCCTGGTGTTGATTCCCAGAATGGGTGGGTTCATGTATATTCTAAGACTATGAGGACCCTTTAAATGGACTCTCCTGAGAGACTGACAGTATCTTCCACCACCTGAAACTCCACTGGTTTTTACAGCCAGAAGGTTTGAGTCTTTATTTGCTTGGCACTGGAACCTTGGGCTGCATGGTCTTGCCTGAGGCTGGGATTGCTCTCTCCCCAGGTATCCTTCCCAATTTTTATCCACCACATATGAATTTGCGACTGCCAATTCCGCCAGCCACTGTTTGTTACACCACATCCTCTCTGCCATGGCTCCCAGGCTCCACGGCTCTGCCCTTCCTGCCCATCTGGATTGGATATGGCTTCTTTAAATCCTTGGTTGTCAGACTTCCATACAGTTTGATTTTCTGGCAGTTCTGGGTGTTTTTTGTTTTGAGGTTAGTTGTGATCATTCTTATGGTTGTGCAAGGAGGCAAAGCATGTCTACCTATGCCTCCATCCTGACCAGAAGTCAGGAGGCACTTGATAATTGTTTGTTGAACAATTTATTTCTGGTACTTTTTTACTTTATTCTATTAAGATATTGTTCATTTATAACATTTAATTCTACTGGGTTCATTTGGTTCTGATCGCCATTTCTTTCATTAATTTAAGAAAAGTTTACAAATACCTACTATACATTAACAGCAGTTCATGTGTTTTTCATAAACCTTCATAAGAAGACATACATAAATGTACATATCATATTCCTGTACAACCTCTTGCTGTTTGTACATTACCTTTTTTTTCTTCTGTAATCCAAGACCATGACTAATCAGTCATCTGTATAATTCACCCTTCTCTTCTGGCCAAGTAAGCGGAGACCCTGTGTGATGATTTCTCTGTTGCAAGACTCCGTGTGTATTATATAAATTCTTTGTGTGAAGGAAAGTGATCTGGTCAAGTCTTGAAATTCAGTGAAGGGTGGAATTCAGCCTGCAATCTTTTTTAGATCTTGTCCAAGGAGCATAGTTACTAAACAGTTAAGGTTGTTTTACCTGGAGGGAACCACAAGGCGTAGATCCATTTTAGTAAGATTTCTTTTTGTTTGTTTTATCTAAAAAGATTCTGCCTCTTGAGATTGAGTTTAAGTGAAGACATAGAGAGGTTTGGAAAGAAATCAGAAAGTGCACAGATTTCCTTATGTACTCAGGCTTACTTTAGATAGCCCATTGCCCCTAAGAGCTTCCTATTCCTGGCATTTATCTGTGGAGAAGATACAGCCTAATTAGAACTGGAAACACAGAGGGTAACAGTGTTTCAAATCTCAATCTCTTTTATACTTTGCACCATTTTTTAAAATCAAGAATTTGGCTCCCTCCATTAAAAAACAAATGCACAACTTGGGCTCCATGGTGAGGACAGAATATGTCCACTTTTTTTGAGGAGCACACACGTGACTTCCAGAAGCACCAGGCCCCGCCTCCCTCCCCAGTGGCTATGGTGCTCCCTGCGATGCAGAGCACAGGTCTGGTCTGAAGTCTGAGAAGAGTAGGTGACTTGCCTCATATCAAGCAACAAATTAGCACATTTAAGAAGCAAGTCCAGGTGCCAGGAATACCCACCAGGCCCGTCCATGCCCCACACCAGTATGTGGGGGCTGAACTGGAGGCTCACCTTCTCACCGGCGGTCAGCACCCACTCCATCCCAGGAGTGTTGACCTGGCTTTTTGGGTCATCCCTCCTTTTAGTCTTCAGTTCCCCTTTCTGACCTCTGCTGCATCTGTCCCAAAAGTGCAAGGAAACACTTCCCCACCCTCTGCCGGAGCGCACCGAGCCCTTCATCACCCGCATGTGTAATCGGGCTCCACAAGCAGTATTTTCAGGGCTGCTCCCTGCTTCTTTGGCTAAAGGTAGGACAATTCCATTACACCAGAGACCATTCATTTGTACGTGTCCATTTGTTCTATAGGGTCACCCAGCCTGTCTCCTCCAAGAAGCTGTCCCCCAAGTCAGCCCTTCTTCACGCTTCCCCACAGTCCCTTTGCTGTCCTCTCATTGACTTCCGCAGTTCTCTATTTTCTGTGCTTTAAAATGTCCTCCCGATCAGATGGGCTGTGGGGTTTCTGCCGAGTGCAGTTGGTCAGGTGTGCCTCGGCCTCTGCTCTCCTCCCTCACAGCACTCTCCTCCTCCGTGGTCCCCCAGGTCCCCATTTGTTGTTTGTTTTTTGTTTTGACTTTGGGAGAAATATTTTTAAACATCACAGGGGCAGCTGACAACCAGAATCTCCCTTTCCGCTTTTCCCCTCTTTCCTGCTCTCATCCTGCAGCCCAGGATTCTGGCCTTCCACGTGAAAGTACGAAGTATGCAAAACTCAAGCTGTGTTTTCGGTCCTGTGATTTTCAGAGGTATAACTTCTGGAACTAGGAAACTAAGGTCCTGACAAAGCAGGTTTGCAGTTAGAAAGTTCCAGAATTCTTGGGACCTTCTCCTGCCCGCCCCCAAAAGACAGCACTTTATCATAGCATTCAATCGCCAGAGCAGAGATGGAACCTTTGAAAAGAGAGTACCCCTTTTGCTGAGACGTGCCCAGGTTCGTGTGGAGAAGCAAACTGGCACTGACTCAGCCAGGCAGAGTGTGGCCTCACCGGTGCGGCTCTTGCCAGGGAGGGGGGCACCAGCTCAGATTAGTGTGCCGCAGCCTTTGATGGGTGCACGACTTCCCTGAGCGAGATCAAGGACAAGATCTCCACAGGAAAGAAGCTTCTTCTTGCCCAAACTGCACTGTTAACTAGCCAGGAAAGTATGTGTTTGGTGCTGAAAGTAACACCACATTTGCCTGTAGATTTAGCTTCCAAAATTCCTCTGGGAGCTCCTCCACACACACCCTGCTCTAGGCATCTCGGGGAGGCTGTGAATTCTGCTGGCTGCATCATTGAAATTATGCTGGGTCATTCTCCTAGAACCTGGAATATTAATTGTTTTTATATTGTAATTTTCACAGGTGCTTGATGTAAAAATGGTTCTGTTACAATTTAAAATATTTTTCCTCTCAAGCATATAGCAACAAAATTATAAATTTGGAAATCTTTCATATCTGTATTCACTCATATTAGACATTAAAGGCAGAATTAATATTTCATTGCCATTTAAAAAGTATAAGATACTTATTTGAAAACAGTATATAAAAGTTTCCTTGTAGTCAGTAATGTATTTATATATTAACTAACTAAATATCTAACTAGACAACACAAAATACCTAAATTTTTTGTGCAGTTACCAGTTTTACAGAGAGATCTGGTGTACACGATACTAAGTGCATTAAAACATCATTATATTAAATGTGCTGGGTTTATTTGCAGGAGCTGTTTTTCCTAAGAGATACTTTCTGTGGACATTTTTTTTCCTCTTAGTTTAATTTTCAAGCGTTTAATAGAGTGATTGAATGAGTATAATACTTTTATTTTAACACCCAGATCAGAGGAGGAAAAAATCCACTTTTCTTAACCTCTGTGAAGCTATTGGCTGGTGCATAGTTTAAGAAGTTGTTGTGTTTGAAATAGCTCCTAATAGATATCAGCATCTTCTGTTGGTCTTACTTATAGAAAATATTTTATATCTGTATAATTTGACAGTCATCTTTAAATGATATTTACTAAGTACCCCCAGTGCAGTGCAGAGATACCTTTGTTAAAAAAAAAAAAAAACCCCCCAAGGCAAAAAAAAAATCTTAAAAAAAAAAAAAAAGGTAGTCTAAAACTGCTGGAGATCTGTTGCACAATAATGTGAATATATGTGAAACTTACCTGTGTACTTAAAAATGGTTAAAATGGTACATTTTATGTAATGCGATTTTTACTACAAAATTTTTAAAAAGTCAGTGCATAGGTGAGGTGGGCTTTGAAACAACCTGTTCTCTTTTGCATGTAGTTACCAAGTGGAAGTGGCAGTGGATTTGGTTCAGACAGGTCCAGGGTGGGGCAGTCAGGAGGACGGAGCTGGGGGCAGGGTGGTGGTGGAAGGCTGCACGTCCCCTTCTGGTGCTTGTGAAGCCCGGGGCCCGTGGATGTCATTGGGCTGAGTCAGTCCCAGGGCGTCTCCCCTGTGAGCTGGTTTGAGAAAAAGAAGACTTTCCGCCCTTGCCCTGATGTTTCCTTGCTCCTGCACGCTCAACTCTGAGGGTGATGTCTGCACCAATTGTATGGTATTGGACCGCACTGCTGGTGCTCAGAAAGCTCTGCATGCCAGCCTGTGCCACACGTTCTTCTTGGTATCTGCACCTGACTGCTGAGGTGGGCGAGTCGCCCTGCAGGCTTCACTGTGAAAGCGATTGGCTGCAGCTGCTCTGAGCAGGGATTTCAGTCTGGGAGTCTCATCCTCTGTCTTCCGCCCCAGCCTATTTTCTTATGACACCCTCACCTAGAAAGCACTCCCAAGGAGGGAATTTGAAGTATGTCCCAGATGAAACTCACTCAGAAAACTCGTTTTTCATAAAAGAGTTTGGCCAGGAAGAGATTAAACTAAGATGCACCAAGAACATAATTGGTTTCTTTAGACCATAGCCAGTTTCCTTGTCTTTAATTTTCATGGATCGCTTAGTATCTAGAAGCTTGCACCTGGAATCAGTAATCTTTGCCATTTTCAGAGAAGGGGTGATGGTATTTTTTGGTAGTGGATTGTTGTTTCTTTTGCTAATTTACAGTGTTCTCTTTGGCCCTGTTCCCATTAGGAGGTGAAAGCATGGAAATTAAAAAACAAATTACAGGAATGAGAAGATTACTGAATGATAGCGCTGGGAGGATCTATCAACGTGTTGGCAAGGAAGGTGAAAAATTAAAAGAAGAACCCCAGGATTTAGACGCTATCTGGCCTCAGCGTCTGAACTCTGCTGAGGCCCCACAGAGCCTCCCCCCTTCTTCCCGGGGTGCGTGGAATGAGTTCCCAGCCCAGAGCGGGCAGTTCTCAGGGCAGTCTGGCCCCCGCTCTAGAACCTTCCAGAGTCAGCCCCACACTGCTGGGAGCTCCAATGGTATGGTCGTTATCAGACATTTAGAATGCTCTTATTCGGGGGCGGGGGGGGGGCCTGTCCAAATGTTGCTTTATTCCGAAATGTTCACTATGTTCAGTAAGTCCTCACCTAACGTTGTCAGGTAGGTCCTTGGAAACTGTGACTCTAAGCAAAATGACATACAACGAAACCAGTTTTACCATAGGCTAATTGATAGAAACAAGAGTTAAGTTCTTGCAGCCTGTTTCTGGTCACAAAAGCATCACCAAACTTCTAAATAAAGACCCAACACACTTCTAATGTTACACATTGAAGTAAACATGAGCAACCTATATCTTTAAGAAAGATGAATAAAAACAAGAGATTTATTTTCCAACCCAAAGATTGCAATTCAGGATCATGGGTGTCCAGAGCCTCTCCCAGCAGCTCAGGGTTCAAAGCAGACACCCACCCCGGACAGGATGCCGTCCGGTCACAGGGCCCCCCGCGCCCCCGCACTCACGCAGACTGGGGCAGCAGGGACACAGCAGTGACCTGCAGGGGCGCGTCTTTGGGATGTGGGAGGAGACTGGGGTCCCTGGAGAAACCCACGCAGACCCAGGGAGGACGTGCCATGTCCAGACACACAGTGGCCTTGGCTTGGAATTGATTTCTTTTTCTCATCATTGTTATAAGAAAATGACACTAATGCTGTACATTAAGGCCTGTCTTAATCACCTGCCTTAGCTGAATTATTTTAAGAGACAGGGAAGACATAGAGGAAAAAGTTGCAGACTGTAAAATACCAGACTTGAGAAGTGGGAAAGACCGGGGGTTCTAGAGTAGAAATGATGATTTCTTAGAGATTTTAGCTCTTCCAAAGTTGTAACTATCGTTCGCTGATATACAGATAATTGTCACAAAAGACTGAACACTAGGGCAGAAAGAGCTCCCTCCCCTCTGTCATTAAAAGAAGATTCCTGGTCACGTGGTATATTATTAATACATCCTCTTGCTTACACCATTGCTTTTCTTCGTTATGAGAAGAGTCATAGTTCAAGGAAAGACTGATAACCTAGCATCCTAGTAACTGCTAACCTCACAGCCCAGCTACTGAACCAAATGACCCATATTTTGTAACTTGCTTTATTAGGGTTGAGATGTATTCCTTTAAAGTAAAATTTCCTTAATTGAAATTTCTAATTGTTTAGAAAAAAAAATCAAATGGGAGTTTGTTTTTTGAATCTTAATGAAAAAATGGATGATTTTTTTCCCCCAGGCATGTTGATTTTCATCCAGTGACATTGGATGTTACTTGTTCTGTAAGTTATGTATAGATGTGCAGATCTATAGTTCACACAAGAAAAAAGTAAAAATTCAGTTTCCTTGAAAAGTAAAGGGTTTATCCCATTTATTATCCTTCCAGGTTAAGAGGATTGTTTTGATTATTATTTTTTAAGCACAGTTTGCAGTAACCAGTTCAGACGTATGAAAAGCCATGCTGAGACACTGGGTGAGGCAGTGAGGGACCCCAGGAGAGGTACTGGTGTCTTCTCGTTCTCTCACTGTTACATAAGTTAATATCAGATTCACAGGTTGGCCTCCTTCCAGTTTAGAGGGAGATGGCTCTTGAAAGACTCCTCCATAAAAATAAAAAGTCAGTTCTCTTTCAAATTAGAAAATGATTTATAACAAGCTAAAAGGAGTTGGTTTTTTTCTCTAAAAAGAATAAAGACAGTACTTAGAATAGTGATTAGGAATATCCTGTAAGTCCTCCCCCTCCGATTCTTTAGCCATGGAAGAAACGTGAAGAGAAATAAGCTGCCCTCTGGTATGGATGGAGTTAGTAAACCCCGCATCAATGAGTTCTGGGTGAACAGAGGTCTGTTTCCCAGTACACAGCAAGGAAGGTGCATTTACTTTGGAAAATGTTGTGTTAAAAGATACAAACATCAATTCCCTCCTAGTCATTTGAAAATAGATCTTTTTTTGTGTTTGTTTTATCTCTCTGAGAGAAATTTATTATATATAACTGTGACTGGTCTTGCATGGAAGTTATTTGCAATTTTAAGGTGGTATAACATCTCAGTTTGCTACAACTCTCAGTGTAAATAATTGTGCTACCCCAAACATTGTTATCTAAGTATTTCGTGGTTTTGCTGTGATGAATATTTCTATAGTATCCACAAATAATGAATATGGTAGGATTTAAATTACATATAATGTAAAAATGAAAGACATAACAGGACCAAACCTTAACTTACCTCTTCTACCTATGAAAAAACCTAAGTGTTAGCAGCGTCTTTCTTCTAGAATCCACTTTATTGTAGTGGGGTTGGGTACTGATGCCAGAGGGGACGCCACTGAAAGTGATTTTCCAAATGTCCCCTTTTATTCTAAGGACAGTAGGAAGATGTTTGTTTGCTTATAAGGGAAACAGAATAGGGTAGTTATTTTAAGGAAAATATATTGGATTTAAGCAGTGAAAAAAAGACTAAAATGAAGGAACTGTAAGAATTGGGGATGCAAAAAAGATATAGGAGGACCACCTTTATTAAACTGGAGAAAAGCCAGCACATCAACACCCTCTAACGCATCAAATTCAAATGTATCCTCCCAAACCCTGCTCCCCCACTCGCCCCACCCCCCCAGACCACACCCAGAGAGCACGCTAAAAGTTTTAATGTGTTGACAGTTCTAAATTTTTGAGATACCACGCTTAATACTAAAACTATTTTTTAACAGACACATTTAATTCTTAATATGAACTCTTACAACACATGCAGTTGTCAGTTTTTTTTTGTAAGGCTGTCCTGAGAGCTAGGTTTTTTTGTGCAAAATAGCGCGAGCTTGTGTCTAGTGAATTTTCAGGCTATTGTTATCTGAGATGAACCGGTGTGACAATAGGAAGTCCTGCTGTGATAGTACATTGTGTGCAGACTTTCCTGCAGGCTCCACCACCCCGTGAAATAGCACACACCTTATAATAAATACAGAAGCCTAGATAATTAGATAAAGTCAGATTCCCAAATTTAAGTTGTCAAAATTAGTGGGTACATTTTCCTTAGGCACAGTCTCATAATAATTGCACAGGCATTGAGTCCTGTCAAGATATCTTTTGTCCCTCTTCATAATTTTGGCATTGTTTGGAGTATGTCATTCTATTTTTTCATGCTTAGGAGAACTTCCAGTGGGGAATTCGTCAGCTGGATCAAACTGCTGTACTTGTAACTGCCAATCAACATTGCAGGCCATTCTCCAAGAGCTCAAGACAATGCGGAAATTAATGCAAATTCAAGCAGGTACAAAGATTACACCTCAGATCGAGTCCTCTGATTCTTAATACATATCTGAAATCTTCAGTTGGGATGTTTATAGTGCTTTTATTATTGAGTTCTTCCCTCTGTGCTGTCTTGCTGTGATTTTTCAAGTATCCGTTTTCTCTGCTTTTTCTTCAACCCGTTTTCCCTTTAGCAAATCTATCGGGTTTTTTATTGTTAATAATACTATTCCTATACCTAATGTACATGTGCTCTGTATACCTCACCCTCTGGTCTCCTAACACCTCACAGATGTCAGTTCATTATATTTTGAAACAGTTACACAGGAAGGTGGGCAAAGTTCTTCAGCTCATTGTCCAAATGTGCATCGACAAAGAGGTTCCAAACAGGCAAGAAAATGAAGCTGCCTCATCTCGCCCCTTGAGGTGCTCAGCTTGGGGCTGCCTGCATCTTGACCGCCCTCACTCCTGCTCAGGTCCCTGTTGGGGCTGGCGTGGCAGCGGGGAAGCCACCGGGTGTGGAGGAGCCCTTTAGGAAGCATGGGCCGCAGGGGTGAAGAGCATAAGCTGACAAGAGGTGCTGGCCCGCACTCTCTGCTGGTGACCTTTCTCCCTAACATTCAGGACAGAGAAGCTCAAAGACACGTTTTGTCGTCTTTATTTACATGATGCCTTTTTTTGTCCTCACTCCTGTTAGACAAGTTGAAGAACAGAAGAGCAGTGAATTTGCAGTTTGGGGTCAGAGTTGAGTTTTTCCTCTTCTATCTGAATGACTTCTCCGAGCCTCAGATTTCTCCTCTGTTAGTGGAGTAGTAATATCTCACTCTCAGGGTTGTTTTCAAAAGAGAATGAGATAGTAAAGCATGACACAAGTGTAAGCTATTTTGTTAGTGTTGTTATAAAGACCACGGAGCATTTCATAGAAGTCTGGTAGTCTAGGTCTTCACTGATGGCAGCTCTGTTTTCTAATCCTCACGATTAGAGGGGGAAAGGAACTCTTTTGTCACCAGTACAGAAAATAAGCAATCATTTTATTAAGCCTTTCCTCTTGTCAGGGAAAACTGCTCCTCGACCTTGGCCTAAAGCAGCACAGCCCTGTATGACTAGCATTCCTATCCTCCCCTTGTAAAGATACTCACAAAGGTCAGTGTTTGGAAATTGTACATGATGCCTTTTAGTGACTTCTAGTAAAATTTTAATATTAATGATGTGATTTTGATATTAAAAAGCTAAACACTTAAGACATCTCAGTCAACCAAGATCACATGAGTGTAAGGTGAACAAAAGGCTCTCTGAACAGCAACATCTAATTTTATGTGCTGAATTCGGTTTAATTGCAAGGGGGGGAAAGCATCTTGGTCAAATCAGTAAGTATTTACCTCATCTTGTTCCACCATGGTAACCTGTGTTCTTACTAACCCGGCAAAGGCTAACATCTCCTAAATATTAAGGGACTCAGAAAGAAAGGTTACTTCACTGAGTGTAGATTCTATTTTCAGAGGAAGAATTTGTTAGCACCTAAGAAAATATGCATAGGAAATTGTAATGATTTATTTTGTTACTTAAGCTCCTTACTACTGAAATGGCAACTATAAAAGGTCGTTTTAGAAACTTTTAAGTATAAATGCCACTTTGTTGCCATGTTTTATTTCTGAACCTTTGCAAATCAGGCAGTACATGAGTCCAAAGGTGTAGGAGGGCAGAAAGGATCAACTGAATAAATTACTCTTCTTTAACTTTCTTAAACTTAAGAATTTGTGTTGTGTGGCAAATGTTTATTGCCTTTAAGGCTCAGATTTAAGTTATATATATTTAGAAAGTTTTATCTTTAAGAAGAAAAAGAGGAGGATCAAGTGATAAGATCTGAATGCAAGAAACTTTGGCTATGTCTAGACTTGCAAAAAAGGAGAAGAAAACTCAGTCCCTTGTGTTCTTGAAACCGAAAACATTTTCGCTTTTCATTTAGAATAGTGAGGCTTGGAGAGGCATGTGTTCTAGACTTGACGATTGCTTCAATCATCCGCTTGACTTTAGGGACAGAGACTCAGCCTTGGGTGAAAATTTGGAGAGAACAGAGAAAAGTTCTCCACTCTGGCCTACATATTGGAAATACTTGAGGAGCTTTAGAAAAATCTCAGTGTCTGGGCACCAACCCTGGGAATTCCGATTCAATTAGCTCAGGGTGAGGCTGAAGCACGGACACTTTTTTCCAAGCTCCAGGGTGATTCCCATGTACAGCCAGGTGAGCTCAGAAACCAGTGAGCTCGGTGCATTCCTGCGCTGGTGATTAAAAGCTTTTCAGTTTATGTGCAGTGCAAGTACAATAGTTTGTCTCTAACACTTAGTTATAAATTTCTTGCCAGCCTGGAGATGAAAGTATATCAGGTTGAGAGTATGACTCTTCTTTATTTGCGATCTATATGTATTTGCAGTTAAAGATGTTATGTTTTCATTTAACATTTATATGTTTGTTAATATAGAAAAACAAGCATATCCTACAGTCACATTTAGTAAGCCATATCAACACATGAAAATTTAAATAACAAGGCCATATTTTCCTATTAAACTTCCCATGAGAGTATTCTGAAATGGTTAACAAACATTACTTTTCAAAGTGCACCTGTGAAAATTTTAATTACCATCCTTGTTTCTTTAAGTATATTTTCAGTATTAGTATTTAGTTCTTATTCAGTGCTTTTTCTCTTTCCTGGAATTTACTCACTTGCTCGACTTGTATAGAACTATATTATTTTACCTTTCAGCCACATAAAACCGAGGTGTGAAGAAGCGGCTTAGTCTGAACCAGCAGTGTAGTGCTGTGAGACAGCTGATGTGTGGACAGTATTGGCTTATGAGGAAGGAGTTGCTGGACCGGACAAGTGACTAGCAGGCCTTGCCCACGTGCTTACTGGTGCCTGCGTGCTGGTCATTCCAGACGGATTTGCTTTGCTCAGTCTTACCCAAATGATCATCTTTGTCCAGTCTTTGTCAATTTCAGTGCTAGCAACCAATCCGTTGAACCCCCAATGACAATTGGAATATTCCTGAGACCGGCTTACCCAAAAGCATAGACATCTGCACCTCAATTTAAGTTCAGCATTGTCATTGATATAAAAATGTCACATGATTTGTAAAATCATGCTCATAGCTCATCATCCTTTTCTTTCATTGAACCTGGCAGTAGCAGTGCAATCGATTATTCACCAGCATCTGCAGCAGAGCTCTCCCTTGGGTGTTTTTTCTGCCTATAGAACTTGAAAATGCTCCAGAGCCTGCATTTGGTAAAGTCAGGCCGAGCGTGCTTTATTTTATTCTGGGTGCTTCATCCCTGAGAGAGCCCCACGGCAGTCTCAGCTTGTGAAGTGTGCAGAGAGACGAGTGATAAGTTTTTCCTAAGTTGGACACAAGTGCCTGTACCATATTTTTGTTTATTGTTCACAGTTGGAACCCAAAACAGACAACAACCCCCAATTTCCCTTATATGCTCCCAGCGAACTGCTGTCTCGCGCAAGAGAAATAAAAAGAAAAAAGTGCCCCCTAAGACTGTTGAACCTCTTACTGTGAAACAGAAACCCAGTGTGTTAGAGACCGAGAAGAAGACAGCTGCGGCCTCCGAGCAGTCTGCCCTCCCGGCGGCTGAGCGCCCCTCCGCTGCAGAGAACCGCGTCCTGGGGTTTGGCATCGTTCTGGAATCACCTTCCTCAGATGTAAGTTGATGTTTTCTGGCTGCTGACACTAAACTGATGTAACTGTCAGGAATTTTATCATATTGCTACACTCTCCTCTTAACTCATGCTGCCCAGGGGAACTGGAAAAACTTGCAGAATACATGTGGGAAAGAGGAAAGGAAGATGAATAATTTGCCTGCCTACAATTTTCTCTTCTGAAAATCTTATGCTTTATTTATTTAAACATGCTTCCATTCTGTATCTCCAAAAGAAGAAAGGTTATGGAGTAAGTAATCTACTTACTAATTTCTCTAACATTTTTAATTTTGAAGTGGCCATTTTCAATTTCCTCAGTGTAGTGAGCTAAAAGAACATAATTAAATTCTTTGTAAATGAGCATAAATGAACTGAACCTTACAGATAAAGTCATACCTTTCTGGAAGCACAAACTAATAATAAAAAAAAGAGCAGTAGTGCTAATTCTATTTTATAGATGCAAGCTATACTGCTAATTAGGCTGTAGTGCCATGTCATTTACTCTGTGTAATGATAGGTTAACGCTCTGCAAAGATTTTTCTATTTTAATATCATAGCCAGAATGTTGTTTCAAGTCCAAGATGTTGGATGATACGACTTGCCATTTTATATTCAATGACCATGCACTGATTTTGTTAATAGTGTGCTATATGTGCAATTGTGTGCTCTCTTTACAGTATCTTAGTACCCTGATGTTGTGAACCCCAACTTATTGGGAAAGTTCTTAAATAAGAACAAGTGCTTTATTATTATCAGATTGCATAGAATGAGAATCCCGCTGAGAACCCCCATAGGCTTATATGGGATTGGAGTTTGGCCCTACCTTTTAAATAAGAAATAAATTGCTTAAAAAAAAAAAAAAAGCGTTCCCTTTCACATTGCACAGGAAGACAGTTTGCTAGCATGTATCCGCTTGGGGTCTTTAATAAAGGGAGGCAACAAAAGTAGTCATCTTGTGACTTTTTTAGACTAGGAAATCATTTGAACTTTTATTCAATCCCTAGTGTCAAAGGTTTTTTGTTTTAGTTTTTATTTATGAACACATGCTGTAATTGTTAAGAAGTTCTTCTAGACTAAAGCTTAATTTTAAAAATGTCATTAATGATGATAACGTTTTACCTTGGACCAGTCTGCTCCTTTGATTAGATTATATTGTTGATATTAAGGCTCTGGTTTCAAAAGCCATGTAGATCACATATTTGGAAAAAATAGGTAAATTATTCCATAATACAAAGTACATTCAATCTGAAACAATTTTCTTAATACTTTAATATTTCTCAATATAATTCTTCTTGATAGGCACTGATGTATCAGGAGCGATCATTTGCGTTGCATAAAACATCTCTTAAATGGGTTGATCTAATGCTAATAACTGAACTTATTCTTCCTTTAATTTTTAAGCTTCAAATGTACTTCAAAGATAAATTAAGGAGTAGCTGATAAAGGCCTTATGTACATTAGTGAAATAGAATTTTTTTATCTTACCAATATCAGTATTATAATTTTATTTATATACAAAATAAATATAATTTGCTTTTTATTCATGATTATTTTTTGCTAACAAGTGCTATTAAATTTAATAATGCACATTCATAATTGCCCATGAAAACTCAGTTTGGTGCTTATTACCTTGATGGAAGAATAACATACTTGTAGAGAAAAGCAAAAAATATATATGGATATTATCTGTACATTATTCAACTGACAAGCTACTTGGTTCATCTATTGAATGGGAACTCACTGCAGCTAGGAGACTGTGCAGTGTATCCCGTCAGTGGGGAAATGTTTTGTCTGTGGATAGTGCTCACTGGCCTTACAGAGGCTGGGCTACGATGTCCCTGGTGGAAGACATTGACTCCCTTAGGTGACCAGACCATCGATGCTAAGGCATCCAAACTTAGGTGCCTTTTAGTCTTCTTGTTTCTTAGCCATGAGCCCTTTAACATTTGGTGGAAGTCCAGAGAAGAAAATAATATATAATAATATTATAGGAATTTTTCTATAGAACAGGTTGGATGGGAATTATGTAATTGAAGATGGACTCTGAACAGTACCCAGCACTGGGGTGATTAGGTCCAAAGTTGCAGGGTTGGGCAAGTGGTCCAATGTTGGTAGAACAGCTGTCTGGCCAGCACTGGCCGCAGATGATGATAGAGAAGTGGGATGGGGCCAGTTGGTGAAAGCCACACAGACTGTCTTGCGAGTGCCCCCGGCCTTTATCTCATGGGCACTAGGGAACCATTGCAAGTTTCAGGTAGAGAAATAATCACACCTGTGTTTTAGAATGGGAACTGGAACAATGTTATGGACGATAGGTGGAAGAATATAACAGAGCCAAAGAGACCAAAGGAAGATACAGTCAGCCAGGCAAGAGGTTGGGAGGGTCTATACATGAGAGACATTTGGGAGGTACCCATGCAGAGGACTTGGTGACTCAGTAGGAAGTGACCCCCAAATTTCTTTCTTGAAAAACTAGGTTGGTTGCTAGATGGTCCTGACTTCTTTAACTGAGATAGGAAAGGAAAAGAGCAGAAGCAGCCTTCAACTCTGGAGAGGAAGTGAAAGTGGGTCTAGTATCCTCAGAATGTTGAATAGGTATTTGGAGCACAGGAGAAAGATTCGAACTAGAAGCAATGAAAAAAATGACACTTAAAACCTATGCTTTATTACTTTTTTAAATGTAAAAAATACTACACATTCTTAAAAAGTCACAATGTTTTAAGTTATCTTTTTTATGCTGTGGCTTTTAGAGTCACCCGAATACACATTTGTTCATTTATGCACAAACACAAACATAAGCGCCCTGTGGGGCTGGAGCTGGTTGCAGGCAGAACACTGATAACATTATCTACGCTTAAAGGAGGAGCAACAGTGAGCTCTAATCACGGCCAGCTGCAGCGTGGACGCCTCAGAGTCTTGTAAACACCAGATGATGAAGAATGTGGGAAAATCCTATCGCAGCGCCTTGCACAAAAAAGATACTCAATACAGGTTAACTTAGTCTACAAACAATGAAACACGTGCATTTGCATTGAGTTTAATATACAAAATAAACTTAGGAAACTTTGGGTCTAAGACTTGGCTTTAATTTAGAACCCTCCCCTCAGCTTAACTCCCATTTTCTCATTCTTTTCTTGTTGCCACTGTCCCCAAAGCACCCATATAATTTCAACAGTTCTTTTAGAACTTTCTATACTGTTTGTAATATTTGTTGACTATGCTTTGCTAAATAATTGATCACATTTCATGTTTACTCTGAGGCATGATTATTATTGTCATTTTATAAATAAGGAAACGGTGGCATAAAGGGCTTAACGCACAAGTCCACACAGCCAGAAGCGGGGGAGCTGGTTCTCAAACTCAGGTCAGCAGAGAGCCCTCTCTCACTGCAAGGCTCCGGCGCTGTGCCAGCACCGTTCTTGTACACGCCCGACACTCAGGAACTGCCTATGGGATGCTTGTTACAGGAAAGAGAACTGAAAGGTTAGGCTATGGCTGATCATTCTGTCTGAAGTTTCTGGGGAGCAGAACGGACTGGTTAAGTGTACCGGTCTGAGGTCAGGCTGCCTGGGCTAGAAGCTCAGGTGTACAACCCAGAGCAAGCGCTCCTGCCCCCGCCTTCCTCCGCTTTCTCTCCATAAAACGGGGACAGTGACCAAGCTGATCTTACAGGGTTGGCCGCTGGAAGAGTTAAATAAAGCCATGCCAACTACTGTGAATAGTACCTAAGTAAATTTTAAGCACTCAATAAATACTGATTCTTTTTAAACCTTAACAGTCCTAGCTAAGTACCTTTACAGGGATGAATATAAATATTTGTTAAGTAAATTTATGTGTATATGTAAATGAAAAAATATACATGAACCAGGAACGGTTTTTTATAAGAGCGGCCAGAAATGCTTCTCTTTCGGGGCAGGATTATTGGACTCGTTTTTAGTTATTAGCACCTTAAATAAAATTGAAACCTAAATTGCATAGACACAAAGGCAGAAACTGAAAACCCCGTTTTAGATTTAAGTAAAATATTTAATCCTTTCTTCATGAGTGCATAACCCAATGCGCTACTAGTACTCAGACAAGACAGTTGTTAATGTTTTACAGTTACTGTTTTTTCCTGCTTAGTTGGATATTTTGGTTTGTGTTATTCAGAGCAGCTATATGTGGCTTAGGCCTGTTTCATAATTGTTGCTTCTTGTTTTGCTTGTTTTTTGGCTCTCATGAAATGCTAAGATCAGTGTTTTAAAATATTTTTAAATGTTTTTAAAAACATACAAAACACTTTTCTATGTATTGTAATGGCTATGAATATTGTCCAGTAATCCTAAATTACACAAAAGTTATCAGGATAAATCTATAGACATCCATCAACTTAAGATACTTTTGTTAATGCTTCTTTTATGTCATTCTTAAATAATTTAAAACGCATTGGTGCTTTCAACATAAGTAGCTTCTGCATTCAAAATCTGTCTTCTTAACTTCTTCTTAGCCCAATAAAGTAATCCACTGGGAACTAGTAAAGCAAATCAATCAAGCAAGCTATTTTTAAATTTATTCATTAACACATTGAATCAAGGCAGTATGTGTTTGTTAGTGGAGGTTCCAGCCTAGACTGCCTGGGTTCAAATCCTTACCTCATCACTTATTACCTGGGTAATCTGAAAAAGTTACTTAATATCTCTAAACTTCAGTTTTTACATCTGAAAATTGGGGATAGTAACAGTAGCCACTTCATAGGTTGAGAGTTAAATTAGAAAACCCATGTAATGTGTGTTACTAGGGCGTGGAATATAGTAAGTAGCAAATCCCATCAGTTATAGGACCGTTTTCCAGTGCATACTGAAATGAATGAAATAGTTCTTGCCCTTTAAGGAGCATATGAGGAAGATATAAACAACGATTAGATTATAAGAGGGCCTAAGTTCTAGCATAAGCTGTCAATGCAGCATGGTGCCTGGAAAGAGAGACCTCTCCTCAGCCTGGAGGGGCACGGACAGGCTCTCGAA